TGGAAAGTCTGATTTTTCAGAGCATTTCCTCTCCATCTGTACCGTTTCTGATGACAGAGGTTACATAGCTTGTGTCATGATCTGACAATAAAAATTTTTTTTTTCAGATTATGAGAAGTAATCTGGAAAGTTTCCATAGCAGTGTAAATTAAATTAGAAAGCTACAAATACTTGTATTATGGAACCATATACCCAGATGTTTAAATTTGGGTTTGAGCGTCATCAATGCAGATGTTCAAAGGCCCTAATGAAAGTCATAAAATGTGAGTGATAGAATTAAACTAAGAGACAGTTAGCTTGTGTTGTTTCAGCTGACAGGTGAAGACCTTCTTTAGGTCTAGACCTTCTGCTTCTGTGAGAGCTTGTGGCATCTGGGACCAGGAGGTTTTGGGATGTGGCTGAGCTGCTCCCTTTTGGCCTCTGACAGAGAACCCAGACTGCTCTCCTGAAGATTTGTAGGTCAGGCTTGGGCATGTATTGAGGTGCTGAGGAGTCTAGGGGAGTGACCTCCTGCCCCCGTTCCTCATGAAATCATGAGGGTGTGAGACTGTTCACTCTCTTCTGCAGTCCTCACCATTATTGACCCAGTGTTTTCCAGCTGTCAAGACATGACTTTGCACAGAGTAGCTGACTGGATGGAAGTAGTTCTACTCCTTGAGGTTGTGCTGGACCTCACAATGTTCTGTAGCCATTGGCATAATCTCTTTATAGCAAATGATTCTTCATGTCACCACTGACAGCAGATTTTCCTTCACCTTGCAGGTCTCTCTCTGCCATCTCCCGGAGAAGCTGTCATCTCCGGCACAGGAGACAGAGGCCTCCAACTGGTCCTGAGACAAGAAGACTCTGGGTATGATGACATTGAACTATGCACTGTTTTGGGATCAAATAAATCTTCAAAGGATCCTCTGTAATTTTGTTTTCCCAGTAAATAAGAATTTTGTCTTCTATATTACTACAGAATTTTTTCTCGGGCCTGTGATGAAAGGAAAATCTTCATAATAAATACCTTGAGTTTTACAGACAATTGTTCAGAATCCAGGTCATTTACCACACTACTCTCGGACAATTCAGTCTTCAATCATACCCCTGCCCCAAGTGAAATCTCCGTTGAAATATCGAAATTGTCATGTTCATCATCCTACACTTTTGCCTATTGCAGGTGAAAATTATGTGCCTCTCCACAGTCCAGGTGTCTGCACACTGTGTGGCTTCATGCACCACCCAGTTCCAGCCATGATCACAGACAGGGCCCAAGGAGCTCTGTGACTTCTCTCCACTCTGCAGGTGCCGTGATGGCCTCCGTCCACCAGGCGGGGCTGTGTGTTCCCTGAGGAGATAAATTCAGGCCATTGGGGCCTGTCATCGGGGGTCCCTTCACCTGAGCAGTTGGTGGTGCCCTCCTCTGTGGCTGGGGAACCTGGTTGTGTAGCCAGGGAGTGGTTGCACAGGGGCAGTACTGGGGTACTTCCGGTGAGATCAGAGGGTTAGTAGAGTCAAAGAATAGAAAACTGAATTAAACTACTCAGCAACCTAGAGGAGGGTGTGAGTTGAAGGTTGTAATGGGGTAGTCATGGCATCACCTTCTGTATGGAGTATTATTTCTCTGACAATGCCAAATGTTCTATTTTAAACCAAACACTGATAGTGACCTAGAAAAGTGGAAATACACCTAAAGTGGCAGAGCTCCCAAATCAGTGAGGATTTTTGGAGCCAGACTCTTAGAAAGGTAAAAGAGCAGGGCTGAGCCTGTTTCACATTGAGACATTTGTCAGCTCAACCTTGTAAATCAGACATTGAAAACCTCTGAACCACTGAAAGTTTTCCAACACTCAGGACTCAGAGAAAATCTAGTGTGATTCGGCGTTAGCCAAGGAGGAGGAGCTTGTCATCCAGAACTCTCCCACCACAGATGAGAGTGGACTGTGAGTGGACTGTTCCTCACAGGGATGGAGGCCCAGCTTCTAGTCACCTGAGTTTGTTTCCAGTAAGGTGATCGAGTGGTTCCTAAGCCACATGCAAGCAGGAAGCAATCTAGGGAAAAGTGATCTCTTTAAAGCACATAGCAAGGAATAAGAGAAAAACTTGATATGTTCCATTTATTTATTAAAATTAAGAACTTGACTTATATAAAAACACTATAAATGGAAAAAAATAAAAGAGCAAGATTTAACACTGCAAAGTGTGCATAGACATGGTGTGTGTGACACAAATGTAGTTGTAAACCCGTACGTATACTGACTCGTACATGAAACACATACAAGTGGATAAATACATACACACTAAATAGACATAATGACACTTGTCATTTCTTCTTTAATGAAAACAATTGTTATAAAGTAATGGACGATGTTTGGTTGACAGCAAGGATGAGCTAAAGCAATTTGTGTCAAACTGACTCCATTTCCAGCTCTGTGGGACGCCATCTTATTTGGCCTCAAGGAGGCCTGAAGAGAATATGAAAGTCAAGTACGTGGCCCATGTGAAAGTGAAAGGAGGCAGGGGAGGCCGAGGGCCTGAAGTGCCGACAGTGAGGACCCTGGAGCAGAAGGGCACCTGCCACTGACCAGTACAGACTGGGCTCCCAGGTGCACAGAGCCCCACTGGTAATGGGGGTGAAGTGGAAAGGGGGAGCCTCACCACGAGGCTCATGACTGTGCTCCTTGAAGGCCAGTCTTCTCCTTCCCTTAGAATTTATCATTCTAACACCAGTTTTCTAACCACCTGGATTTTTGTTCTTACTGTTCAGTGCTTCTTGTTTCTTTGCACCAGAACACGTTGGTCAGTTGACACAGGAGTCATAGGCTGCAGCAACAGAAAGTCTTCTTTACCGGACCCATCTGATGGAGAAAGACAGTCACACGTCTTTCTTTAATTTAGCTTTTCTGTGTCCGCTCGGGGACACATGACACCTGATGTCAGAGAATCTTGCTGCTCTTATAAGGAGACAGTTTAGATAGAGCATCTAATTGGTGTTTGAACCTCAGAAAGTTTCTATTTATGGAGTGTCTGATGCAGCGACGATGTTCAACAGGGTTTCTATTGGCTCCCAGATGATGGCAAAGTCAGGGCTCGGACTATATAAGCCCCTCCTGGGTGTGGGAGCCCAAATAAGGAATGGGGGATTCTTTGTATATTTGGGAAAACCGTTACCCGATAACACGAGGATCAGGATGACCATGGCTGGACACTGCTTTCTCCCAGGACTAGCTTTTCTCCTCTCCGCTGTCCTAGCGAGCGCCCAAGGTAAGCAGCCCCCCCCCTAAGATCAGCAGGGACACTGGGGTAGTTCTCAGGCTCTGGGGGGCGAGCCTGGGTTTGCAGAGGCAGCTCCTCTCTGTTGACCCCTTGGTTTTGACCAAATGTGATCTTTAATGGTGGTGAAGGTTCATTTTTCTCCTTTGAGCACTTTGCTTTTCAAGTTCAGCTGTGAGATGTTGCCCATATTCAAAGCTTGTCCTCAGATTGACCAAAATCTGTGTTCAGCCTTCTGCAATAACACCTACAAGAAAGAAAATGTTTGGAGACTTCCCAGATTTTTGTAATGGTTATGACTGAGAGACTTCCTGTGTCTGAGTCCCTGAGATTCCTTCATGCACCCAGTACTGTGTGTCCCAACACGATTCTGGGTTTCTGCTCCTTTAGCCTGTGGATGATATATGTCCATATATAAGTGTGTATATATATGGAGAGAGAGAGACGTGTTAGGGGAACTTCGAAGTGTATGTGAGAAGTAATTGTGTGGGCAGGTGCATGTCTGCCCGTGGAAGTCAGATTTCTAGAAAGGAGTGCACAGAATCACACTCTAAATCAGATGACTGGATTGTGGCGAAGTGGTGGTGATGTGTGTGTATCCATGTGTCTGATGAGGGCAGATATGGATGCCTTTAAGGAAAACCTTCCCAAGAGAAACTTTAGTGACATCCCCAGATAACACTGCACCTGCAACCCAAGCCTGAATTTGAGGTGCTTTTTTCTTCCCCACAAACCCACGGCTCAAACGTTTTTCTGCCTTACTGTTGTCTTCCCTAGCCCTGGGTGCTGGCGGGTCTCTGTCTCCCTCCCGAGGTGTTCTTCTTATATGTTGGCCCACTAGTCCTCCACCCCAGGGGACAGCAGCAAACTGATGCAAAAGTAGGTGTCCCTGGGGGACGGAGACGAGCCCTGAAGGCAGAGGGATGTGGCCTCTTCGACCAGGATGGGCCCCCTGGGTCAGTGTTCCTCTTCCCAGTGGGGTCTCGATCATATCTGTGACATCCTGAGATGTACTATGGAGGAGGATCCCTGTGCTTGTGATTGCCCTTAGGTGATTATTGTGTCTGTCGTCCTCCCAGGCCCTACATGACATATGTCTCCCTAGGCCCCTCACCAGCAGAGCCCAGGCATAGGGGTTGAGCCCTGAAGTGACAATGGTCTGCACTTCCTGGTCAGCCCTACGCACAGGTGAGGCCTTGGGCCTGGCTGTTCCAGATGCTTCTCCTCTCCACCCCCTGTTTCCTCCTGATTTCAAGCCCTCTACTTACCAGTCTCCATCTCTCTCTCTTTGGGAAATTCTCCTCTGAAAGGAGTCAGTTTTTCACTGACATTCCTTGAAATGTCCATTCCTGGGACATGACCACACGTGAGGATGACTGTCCCTTGGCATGTTTCACAGGTCCCTAGGGGTGGAAATTCACTCTGAAAATGAAATATAGAATTGGCTCTGATTCCACTCTGGTCTCTTTGGCTATGAGAACAACGAGTTCATTTTACTAGGAAGCAATCATCAGGCCGCTAACAAGCATGCTTTCTTCTCGGAGACGACATCTCATAAGAGCCGTGACTCAAGCCCAGGCTCACATGTGGCGGCGTCAGCTCACACGAGCTGCCCATCTCCTTGTGAAACTACAGCCCAGGTACCACCTGCCAAGAGCCCAGCTCCCCCTTAGCTCGGTGCATGCGGCCAGATCTGTGGCTCCGTCACCCTTCCTGAACACACAGTCTCTGCTTTAATCGAGTTTTTTTCATAGAACCGGATCATGGAGTTATGTTGAATTTCTCTCCCCATTCACCCTCTCTTTTTTCATCTGGTCTAAAGGATACACATTAGTGTGAGAGTTAACAATGGTTCCCGCAGTACTGTATGTTCCCATCATTTAACTTTCAACTTTCTTTGTCCTTGTAATTAGACAGGTAGCATTTACTTGATTTTTGTTCTTTTATTTGATTTATTTTTAATTGAAGTGTCTAACCCATTTATTTAAATACAGTTGCTGATACTGTTAAGTTAGTATCTCCAGTTTATTTTTAATTGACTCACCACCTCTATATACCCTTTCTCTCTAATTCTAGGCTGTCTTTTTTGAAATAAACAACATTATTCCTCTTTTGCTTTGATTTTTATCATCTTCACAAGGTGTTGGGATTTAATATACTCCTTGGTATTTTCTGACTTTCTTTCTTTTAAATATTTATTTATATACAAGAACTGGGGAACTGGCCAGAGGTGTGAGTGGTGGATTCAATAGAGAGAGAGTGGGGAGCAGAACGGGGATATCTGCTGAAATACACTGTAGAGGGGAATAGTGGGTGGGACAGGAGAGGTCTGCTGCGCCCTTGGGCCACATTCCTGAGTGGCGGATTGAACTCGTGCTATAGTAGCTGCACAAAGCTTCACAGTGCTGTGACTTAACTCCCTGCACACCAGGGAGGCCGCGAACTTCTAGAAAATTCGAGTTATAGCTTTCATCCATTGTAAAAAGTTCTCAACCTTTATCTCATCAAATATAACTTCACTGTTCTCTGGTCTCTCCCTCTTCTACTCTTTTTCTCTTCTTCCCTTTCCTCCTTTCCTCAACGTTCCTCTCTAGGACTCTGAGTCAGTAATTTGTCTGTGTCCTATAATTTTATTTTAAATTAATTCATTCACTTCTTAACCATATATATTTTGTTTTTATCTGGCAACTGTTACTTTGATATTTTTAATACATTTACAATTCTATGTTAAATTCTTTTGACTGGTTTTTGTTTTCTTTCATTTTTTTTTAACTAAATTCATGAATCATAGTTAAAACTCTCATCTTCTAATTATAAAATATTTATTATGCTTCTTTCTAATTTTTCTTATACTGTTTTCTTTTTCACTATGTCAGTGAGCCGATAATTCTAACTTTATACTTAATTTCAAAAATTTTGTATGAAAAAACAAGAAACTCTCTATATATTTGTTCTCTTAGGCAAGTGGGGTTGGGGTAGCAGAGCACCCAGATATTGAACTGTAAACTGCCCTGGAACAAGCCTCTCTGGCTTGTCCCTGTTCCTGTGGCAAGGGCATTCTGGGAACTCAGGATTCAGCTGACAGCATGGATATTTTGGTAGCTCAGACCCAGAAAATGAAGGAATAAGCACTCTACACTACTAGCCCTTGACAGCCACTCTGCACTCATTTAATTGCTCAGGGCAGAGATTCTGACATCTCGGGACATCTTTTCAGAGCCATGCAGAACTCTGCATAATGGTTAACTCTGACAGGCCCTGGTAACACCTGCTCTCTCAGACTGCTCACTAGTTGTCTTCTGCTACGTTTCTCCTATTCTTCCCCATTTTCAACTCTACTGTTTTGATTGCTGCTGTAGGATACCCCAGTATCAGGAAACCCCTCCTCTTCTGGGTTACAGCCCCCCCTCACCCCATCCTCCCTGTTGACCTGACTCTCCCCCCTCAGACAGCCCACAGCTCCGCCTGGTGGGCGGAGGCCATCACTGCGCCGGCAGAGTGGAGATCCGGCACCAGGGCTCCTGGGGCACCGTGTGTGATGACGGCTGGGACCTGCGTGATGCCCACGTGGTGTGCAGACAGCTGGGCTGTGGAGAGGCCCTCAACGCCACGGTCTCTGCTCACTTCGGGGCAGGAACAGGACCCATCTGGCTGAACCAGATGCCATGCACAGGGAAGGAGTCCCACCTGTGGGATTGCCCATTCAGAGGCTGGGGGAATAATTACTGTCATCATTCAGAAGATGCAGGAGTCATCTGCTCAGGTATGGTCGGTGTATTTCCAGGGGCTGAGGGAATGGAAAGTTCCTAGGAGGCTGGTGTCTTTTGGGACAGCAGAGATAGGTGGATCAGAGACCTCTGGGACATAGCCCACCTCTCTATATTCCAAGGGCACAAAGTTTCTGTGAAGGATGAGCATCCTTTACTCCCAAAGAAACTGCTAATTCTGCCTTCTGCATTGGTCTTACCGGACAAAACAACTTAATCTATTACCATCCTGATTAAAACCAATCTTTATGATTTTTTAAAAAAGATTTACTTTTTTATGCATACTGAACTGGGGTAAGACCAGAGGTGCAGGGTGGTGAAATGATTACCAGAGACAGAGTGGGGAGCAGAACAGGGTGATCGAGGAAGTACTCTGCTGAGGGGAGCAGCGGGCCATTCAGGAAAGGTCTGCCGCGCCATGTGGATCACCTCTTGGGTACTGATGGAACTCATGCTGAATTGACTTTAGCTTCTTAGTGCTGTCTTTAACCTGCTGCACCACCAGGGAGGTGGTATAAATATAGTATATTTATAATATACTATTTTCAAGAGTAAACATGTAAATCTCCACACTAACTCCTCTTGTACATTAACTCTTCTTATAAAGTGAGTGAGACTACTAGTGGGAGGTATAGAATTTGGATGTACTTCTCAGGTTAATAGTTTCTGTATGGATAGTGCGAGGTGGGGTTTTGCAGGGATTAATAAGAATAGAGAGATTTCACTGAACAGAGCAGAAGACTGTATGGATTTGTGCCAAATATCATGTCTCCTTTCAAAACTTAAGCATAAATATTCATAGTTCTTTTGCAGGAAAGCCAAAAGCTGTGGGTGAAATACTTTGGGTCATAGATTCTCAAACATTGTGACTCGAAAAGACACTAATTTCTTTCTCAACACTTATAAAACCTTATTTTCCCCTCAGAACACTTGTATAAACTCAGTAGCCATTCACTGACAAGTCAAAAGTGTAGGAGATAAAATACTAGCTTCTGTATTTTATGGAAAGAGATGACGTAGATTTATTCGATGGCTTCAACATGAAATGCATTTAGGGATTTGGGAAGAATGGGATTGAGGGGACAAACAAAATTTGTTGAACATAATATAACAGTTTATTTTTACATCATTGTGTGCCTTTTTCCATCTCAGTTGTAATCCCCATGGGCTTCCCATCACGTAATCACCCGTGTGCCATCACCATAGTCCAGTGCACTTCTCTCCCCCCACCCATTTTTGATCCCATTCCCACTCCACCCCCATAAAATGTCTCTGGTGTGTAGTTGTTCATTATTATTATTCTCTCCCCACCCACTGGTCCTCTGTGCTCCTGCTAAGAGTGAAACCATCCTGTATTTTTCCTTTTCTTTCTGGCTTATTTCACTAAGCATGATCCCTTCCAGCTCCATCCATGTTGCTGCAAAAGGCATGTGTGTATTTCTTTTGGTGCTGAGTAAT